ATATATATATATACACACACACACACACACACACACACACACATATATATATACACACACACACACACATATATATATATACACACACACACACACACACATATATATATATATACACACACACACACACATATATATACACATATATATATACATATATATATATATATATACATATATATATATATATGGGATTGACTCCAGTGAGATGACACCTTACGGTGAGATGACATGATTCGGTCAAATGACACAAAGCTCACCACTGGTCACTACAAAGCTCACCAAAGACAACTACAAAGCTCACCAAAATGTAAGGCAAAGCTCACCACATTTTTTTCAACACTTTGAATTTTTTTCCAAAAAAAATTAATCAAAGGAAGGGTGCTGACTGGACTTTGATTGTTGACCGCCAGCATTGACCGCCGCCTACCACCGGCCGCCGGTCGCCGCCGCCGAACTTCGGTCGCCAGTTGTCGTTGCTGCCGCCGGTCGCCGGTCCCCGCCGCCGCCGCCGGTCGCCATCGCCGATCTCCGGCAGCCACAGCCGCCGCCGCCGGACTCCGGCCACCGCTCCTGCTTCGCCGCCGTTGACCGGTGGTTGACCGGTGTTGTTATTTTATTTTTAATTAATTTTTTAATTTTAAAATTAAAAAAAAGTGTGTTTTGGGATTCAAAGTGGTGAGCTTTGCTTTATTTCCAGATGAGCTTTGCTTTGTGCATTGGTGAACTTTGAAGTGTAGTGTGGTGAGCTTTGCGTCATCTGACCGAAGCATGTCATCTCACCGTAAGGTGTCATCTCACTGGAGTCAATCTATATATATATATATATATATATATATATATATATATATATATACATACATATATATATATATATATAGGGATTGACTCCAGTGAGATGACACCTTACGGTGAGATGACATGCTTCGGTCAGATGACACAAAGCTCACCACTGGTCACTGCAAAGCTCACCAAAGACAACTACAAAGCTCACCAAAGTGTAAGGGAAAGCTCACCACATTTTTTCAACACTTTGAATTTTTTTCCAAAAAAAAAAATCAAAGGAAGGGTGCTGACTGGACTTTGACTGTTGACCGCCAGCATTGACCGCCGCCTGCCACCGGCCGCCGCCGCCGCCGGTCGCCGGTTGTCGCTGCCGCCGCCGGTCGCCGGTCGCCGTCGCCGATCTCCGGCAGCCACCGCCACCGCCGCCGGTCGCCGGTCGCCGCCGCCGGCCGCCGCTGCTGCTCCGCCGCCGTTGACCAGTGGTTGACCGGTGTTGTTATTTTATTTTTAATTAATTTTTTAATTTTAAAATTAAAAAAAAAGTGTGTTTTGGGGTTCAAAGTGGTGAGCTTTACTTTGTTTCCAGGTGAGCTTTGCTTTGTGCATTGGTGAGCTTTGCAGTGTAGTGTGGTGAGCTTTGCGTCATCTGACCGAAGCCTGTCATCTCACCGTAAGGTGTCATCTCACTGGAGTCAATCCTATATATATATATATATATATATATATATATATATATATATATATATATATATATATATATATATATATATTAGCCCAGGAAAGCCCCGTCTTATTTGAACTAAAAAAAACAAGAGTACATGACGAGGGGGTGGGCTAAGCCCCAACAGTAGCCCAAATGAAAACCCCAAAAGAAAGCCAACAATATCAAAGCCTATTCCCTGAAATATATAAAATTATAAATATAAAGAACCAATGGCATCCCAACAAGTACTTAGTAAACAAACCTAATACAAATCAAAAGTGTTATCTTCTAGTATTCTATCCCCAAACAGTAAGCTTTTTATTCCCTTTTTTCCTTCTCTTTTTCTTGCCTTTACCTTTACCCTGATGATCTAAGTCTTCCAGAACGTGATATTCCTGGACCAGCATCAAATAAATCAGGGTCATCTTCTAGTATTCTATCCCCAAACAGTAAGCTTTGTTCCTCTTCCAAAAGACGAGAACTATTGCTCTCATGATCTCTAAGTCCCACACTAAAAATAGTATTCTTTGGTGTAACTCTCAGTCATCATCAAATCATTTTGGAGATCCTCTGCTTTAAGGTTTAGAGCTTTCATATCCTTTAAAGATAGTTTAGATGGCACAAGACTTGTGGGATAGAATGGAGAGGCATGAAATGATAGTTTATCTTTGGTTGAGCTTCTGATTACTTTTGAAGAGGAGCCTGCAATCGAGTGAAAAACTCCTGTCCCGGGCTGTACTAAAGAGCAAACTGCCAGTGCTAAACCAATCCCTTCGACAGGGGTAATTTGAGAGTTAGAGTCTTGTAGTTCAAAGTCAGCAATGGGCTTGAATTTTACTCCTTCTCTTAGCACTATGGAACTTATTGCCACATCTGTTGGAGCACCACAACCTGCCATTAAACAGAGCTTTGGAAATGGTCTGCATCAGGGGTTTCCTTCTCAAAAGAGTTTGGGTATAAGCATCTAGTATCATCAACCCAAAATTCAGTACCATTATTTTCAAACATCATACCAGCCGATCTAAGCTTAGTAAGGAACAGTCTAAAACCATACCTAGTGAAACCCTCAAGAACAAATATTTAGGTGGAACCATTTTCTCTCATTTCTGTTAACTGAACGAAAAACCCAAAGGAGTTCGAATCCAAAGAGAATCGGAAGTCACGGGTACCTTCCTTTTTGGTCTGAACCCAACTGGTGAGCACTGGTCTTTGGAGAATTAAATCAAAGCATGAACAAATCCAGATAAGGGTACTCTTGTTTATCCAAAATCGATAAGATTTGTACCTTCGTTCTTCTGAGATCTCAAGGAATTTAGCTTTTGAAAAATTGAAGGAGAACCTTTTGGACTGCACCTTAAAACTTCCGTTGGCATCTGGACCTTTGAGCTTTGAGAAATTTTGGATTGCTTCTGGAATGTGCCGTCGGGAGTCGTCAATTCCTTTCCTAACTTGCAGGTTCGATGCTGTTCTTCCGTCGACTAGTTTTCCCACCAGCGTAGATCTACGTTGATAGCAGCGGCTAGGAATGGAAACCCGATCTCCAGAGCCCCCTTCTCTCTCTAAGCCCATTTTTTCCAGATATATATATATATATATATATATATATATATATATATATATATATATATATATATATATATATATATATATATATATACATATATATATATATGTGTGTGTGTGTGTGTGTGTGTGTG